TGCTTTCTTGTCAGTATTAAAGGATTACCTGTGCTACATTTAATCTTAAATATTTATGGATTTTGATGGCTACAGCCAGGGCAGCATCCCCTTCAGTGAGCCTGCTCAGCTGACCAGCCCTGGATGTCATTTCCACTGGGCTGTGTTGCTCACAGCTGTGACCCTTTCAGGACACTTAACAACCATATTTAAATAAGTTGCTCCATTAACTTTTGTTGCTGGGTCAGCACAGATATTTATTGGTTTATGTTCTGGGAAATGTTCAAATCCCTGGATGAACTGAAGCCTTTGAAGGTTAAGGTCTGTGGTCAGTTATTTTATTGGGCTGTTTTACACTGCAAAGCTGCTGTTTGTTATTCTTGTATCAAAATGACAATCTGAGAAACTGGCTCAGGTTGGAATGTTAGACATTCACTGTCAGGATAGCACAAGAATTTTCCCTTATTTCAGCTTTAGGTGGCTGCCTGTTGAGCAGAAAACTCTGTTTTCTCACAGGAGAATGTAATTTTGTTTTTTCCAGAAACCCACAGTGAGGAGATGAATGACTTTAAACTGGATTTGCACAGCACTTAGCTTAAGCTTGTGTCTTCAGATCACAAAGTTGTAATTTCTAGGGTTGAAGGTATGGGTGAACAAAGGAGGAATGGGTTACCCTCCTGTGTTTGGATACAATCCTTTTCTGCAGGATTGGCTGTATTTTGGAAAAGTGCGGCATTTCACAGAGAAAAGGAGAAGGAAAGGCTGAAACTGCAGGCAGCAGCAGAGGTGCAGATTCCTTGGCAGAGGGATCAGCAAGGGAGAGTGCTCTAGTCTTTTCAGTCTTACTAATTTCTTATAGTCCTCTTGGTCAAGAAAAGGATAAATTCCTCATTTCTACAGAAAAATAAAAATAAATACAAATAAATTTTGAAACATATTCCAGTAGTTCATGCAGTTATGGCCAAGTACCAGGTAGATTAGCAGTAATTTCGAGGCCCAAATGCTGGTTCAGAAAGCAGAGCATAAAACTGGAATGAGAGAATGAGAGCTAGGACAGATGCCTCTTAAAGGTGTACACTGAAAACTTACAGCATATTCAAAACAGAGTAGACATAAAATAGATAAAAATTAACTGGCATAATTTGTCAGCTTTCTTTCCTCTTTCTTTCCTCTCTACTGGGTCCACCTAAGGTCCCTGAACAGTGGGTAGATAAAAAAAATACTTTCATTACCCCTGTTTACTGATAGACTTATTACGGTAATATAGCTGATATTTTCTCATTAGGAGCTCAATATTTTTGTGTAGTAATTAAGAGTGAATTAAAAATGTGTCATCAGTCATCAGCACCAGGCTGGGCAGTAGGTGACTCTGTGCCCTCTTGGGAGCTTTGGCTTGGTAAGATTCTGTGCCATATGCAGTGCATTTTGGTCTTTCCCACAGGCATTTTTGCAGGCAAAAGAAGTGACTGTTTAAGCCTTTAATCTTTTAATTAAACCTCAGGCTGAAGGCAGACTGTAAGAGGCATTGCAGGAGAGAGATGAGCATGCAACTCTTAAATTGCATTCCAGCAAATCTCATTAGTAAAGTAATTCTGTGTATAAATATTAGCTGTAAGTTATTTCTGATGTTATCTGCTCCCTTTTGGGTTTGATGTTTCCAGAGAAACATTATATCAGGCATGCTCAGGTGTGCATTGATCCTGCAGGAGTGACAGAATCATGAACCTGCAGAGCCCACTGTCAGTTTTGTTGGGGCAGCCAAGGATTGCAGGTGTGAGGTGTCACAGGTGAGATCAGGGGCACCTGCTGTAGGTACAGACTGGTTTGGGTTGGGAGGGAATCCCACCAGTGCCACCCCTGCCGTGGCAGGGACACCTTCTGTGGGAACCCACAAAATCAGAGGGTTTGGGAAAGCTGCAGAAGGCAGCCCCAGAGACAGCAGAACTGTGACTGGAGCCAAGCAGCAGCCATGAGATTGGGCAGCAGAAAAATTATTGAAACTGTAGAAAAGCAAGGACAAATAGAACAATGGTCTGTGTATTAATGCTTGTCTAGAATAACTCCCTAAACTACAGAAAAGTTTATCTAGCAAGATATTAGGAAGGTTGAAGCTTAATAACGGAGCTCTGTGCATTGTGTTTGAGGGCTCACAAGCAGGTATTGCATTTGAAATAAGCCAGCATTGTTTAACCAAAGGTACCTGTGCTCACAGTGGTTGGACAGAACTACTGTCACTATAGAATATACACTGTACAGATATAAATACTGTCAGTGTGCTTTTGCTTTGTGTGATTGGTCACAAAGCTCATAAAGTGAGTTGTGACATTGAGTTCTGTGTCTGCTGCCTGGGATGTGAGCTGCTGGCACCTTCCCATTGCCATAGCCATGGACTGAGAGTGATGCTGGGAAATCAAACAGGTCCAGGCAGTTCCCAACAGCCTGTCCTGTTTGGGATTTGTGCAGAGACCCTGGCTGGTGACACCTTCCCCTGTCCCAGTGTCCAGCCTGGCCTTGGGCAGTGCCAGGGATGCAGGGGCAGCCCCAGCTGCTCTGGGCACCCTGTGCCAGGGCCTGCCCACCCTGCCAGGGAACAATTCCTTCCTAGTACCTCACCTCAAGTGGCTGTTTTCTCTGGTCTTGTAATGGGAAATTCCTGCCCAGGTCTCACCCTCCATGAACTGCCTAATGGAGCACAGGTGGGCTTTGATGCATTTGGGCTTTGATGGAGCTTGACCTGAGAGATTATTTCTGCTGGTCCTTAGCTGCTTTGTCAAGAGCATTAGAGAAGTGCTTGAGGCATGGCACATAGCTCCTGGGGCACTTAATCAAATAAATTTCAAAGATTTATAGAGAATCAGAGTCTATCAGCAAAGAGTTTATTGGCAGAAAAGGGTCTCAGCAGTGCAGTACTTGTGGCATGGGGAACATAAAAATGACAAACAAGAAATAGCATTTTATGTCAAGAGTTGGTGCACAAACCTAGCTTTTGAACCTTTAATATTTTCTTTTTGAGTCATTATCTGTATGCTTTTCTTCCTTTGTGTGGGCACACAGCCTTTCAGGTTGTTTGTTTCCTGCTGCAGCACTCAAGGAGCAGCAGGAAACAAACTGTGCTTGTTGCTGTGCTCCACAAGGATAAGCTCATTCTCCTGAAGATGCCCCTGTGGAGCAGAGCAGCCACCCTCCAGCTGCCCCTGAAGGCCCTGAGGGGCACAGAGCCTGCTGCCCACACCCCATCCCCAGGCTGGGCTCCAAGCACACACAAAACTGCCCTGAGCATTGTCATGAGGGAGGAGGACTGAGCAAAGACATCCTGCATTGACTAGTCACTGTCCAAGTTTAATTTAAAGTATTAATTAGGGATGTGACATGAAGAATGAAAACACACCATTCATGTGAAGCAGCTGAGTTGCCCTTGCTGGCTGTATAGAGATCATGGAGAGAGAGAAAGGTCACAGAAGAGGAAAATGTGGGTGACAACAAGCCTTTGCAAAATAAGCCGTGTGAGGAGGAGGAGTGTTTTGGTTGTGAGGGACATGCTTGGAAGCCAACAACAAAGAATGCCACAGTTGGAGCAGTGCCTTCTCCTTCTCCTTCTCCTTCTCTTTCTCCTTTCTTTCCTTCTGATGAAATCCTTTCTTCCATTCTTTTAGTATAGTTCTAATATATCATTTTCTTTTAATATAATATATATCATAACATAATAAACCAGCCTTCTGAAACATGGAGCCAAGATTCTCCTCTCCTCCGTGGTCCTGGGAGCCCTGCAAACCACCCCATAGTTCCATCAGGGGACTGGCTGGTGAGTGATGCACCTCATCCTCCAGGCTGTTAAGGGCACTGAGAGAGCCACCAGCCCCACAGCAGCCCCTCAGGATTGCTGTTAGCAAGGGGCAGCCCACTGGACGTTGTGCTGCTGCCCATCAGCAGGAGAAAAGCAAAATGCAGGCTAAAATCTGAGGACACTTGGCCCACAGCTGGGTTTTGTGTTGACCTGAGAGTTTTTGGAGGGCTAACAGTGGAGCCTTTCCAGCTTTGCTTATTTGCCTTCTATGTAGAATCAGCAATAGTCTGATTCCCTCCCCCAGAATTACCGTTATTAACCAGCATTTGGAAAGCCAGCAGCAAAATGCCAGGGAATGCGCCCAGCATAGACGAGGAAGCGACAGTAATCACATGGAAGCTCTACACTCTGCAGCTCTCCTTCTGAGCCAGCACACCCTGCTGCTGATTTTCAAGAGCAGCTAATTCACCATCCAGCTCTCAATTAGCTTCCAATTGTGACTTTTAAAAGTCTGCAGCCAGTTATGGGCCAGCTATCCAGCCACAGCTCTGCAGATATGACTCACCCAGGGACCTGCCTGGGAACCGGTGTTCTGGCTGTGAAACACTGAGTTTCCGTATGCAAAAAAGCAGCAATCATTGGGATTGTCAGCGCTTGCTGGTTTTTTCCTTCCCCCTGTGCTGCTGAGCACGTGGACCATGGTGAGCATGGAGATGTCCCTTGGAGTGGCAGCACATCCTCAGGGGCTCTGGGGAGCGGCAGCTGAGCCAGACCCTGCCACCTCTGGAGCTGAGAGCTGCAGGGGGCACTGGAGCTGGGCAGGCTTAGGTGAGATGCACAATATCAGCAAACTGATTTGCCTGCTGGGTTTGGGGCCAGGTTGCTGCAGCCCAAGGGCACGGGGCAGAAACGGGCAAGATGGCATTGTAAATACGTCCACAAGTGCTGCATAGAATTAGAGATTTGTGCTTCTTGCACAGCTGGAGTGGTACTTTTCTTACCACCAGCCAAGAAAGGGAAGCAATCCCCCAAAAAAGCATCCCAAGGTGGTTGTGTGGGTGCACCCCAACAGAGCTGCACCCAGAGCACTTTGTGCCAGTGCAGGCAGGCATGGAGGAGACCTGAGGTGTCAGGCAGTGTTTTATTACACAATGCATTTATACAGAGATGTACAGGGGTGCCTTTCCAGCACAAAGGCAGCCACATTTGGCCTCAGCTGCGGCCATCACCAGCAGCTTCATCTCCTGCCAAACTGAGGCAGGGGGGGTGGCACCTTGATGTCTTGGCCTCTTTCCAGCTTCTTCTCGCAGTCAACCAGGTAATTGACCCCGTCGATGACAATCTGGACCAGCTCCACCTACAACAGCAAGAGGAGAGTTGTAGTAGCGGAGGGTTTAACTCATCTGTTAATAGCAGAGGGGGAAGTTGGCCTGTGCTGTCACCACAGCAGACAAAGCTGAAAGTGAGGAGGGTCACAGGCTTCACATCTCCTGTGGCTCAGGGAGTACACACCGTGCAAAGCCACAGTACTTCCCTTCTCCTGCTTGCCCTGAGCAGCAGAAACTTTCAGTTAGGTCCATGAAGCTATTTCCACCAAACTGTGCTCCCAGAGGAGCAAACCAGCCAGGCAGAAGTCCCTATACAAGGTGATCAGGCAGGAGCTGAGGGACCTGTTTCAACCATGAGCCCTGAGAGGGTGCAGGGTGTTGCTGAGCAGAGCGGCCCGGCCCAGAGTGTTCCCCACGCTGCACGAGGGGCCGAGGGCACAGAGCAGCTGTGCTGTGAGTGTTGAGCCCTGCCAGGCAGTGCCTGATGAAGCACTGAAGTCCTTGCTGTGTCTCCCAGCTCCCAAGCCCCAAACACCCCGTGCTTGCGGGATGTGTGAGCACAGAGACGTGGAAGTGAATTGTGGGGGATGCTGGTGCAAGGAGAGCACAAAGGAGGCTTGTCCTGGTTCACAGCAGCCCCGAATGCTGCTGGGGGCTCAGGGTGGGCGTCCCTGATGTGTCTGGGACTGGCAGGAGGGCAGGGACATCGGCAGTGCCTGAGGGGGCTCACAAGGCCCGGCTGTGTCCTTGCCCTGGGGAGAGCAGCCTGCCCATCCTGCCAGGCTCAGCACGCAGCTCAGGAATCTTCCTGCACCCAGCGCTCCTCACTTAATGCCTTGGGATCCAGGTTTTATATTTTTTAGACCCTGTACTGCTTTAGTGTGTAATTCTAAACTCCACACCGTGTTTTCCCTACTGTTTTCCCATTTTATTCAGACAAAACAATTCCTCTCTAGGCCTGAAACTCAAGGACACCTTATTGTCTCAAATGAAAACAACAGTGAATTAAGAGGGGCACACCTGGAGAGAATTACTTCATTACCTGAAGCTGTAATTGGAGGATTAACCCCTGAAATGCAAGTGGACCAAACTTGTACCTTTATGAAAAACTCGTGACCATCAACCACCTTGGGTGTAGTCCATTGGAGGCTTTTGGCAGCCCGGACTGTACCCATGGAAGGCCTCTAATAAATACCTGCTTTTATTCCCTTAATCTTGTCTAGCCCCTGTTCTAGACAGCCACTCCAACCATCAGAGTGACACTGCCAGGGGTGGGATTCACTCCAGGCCCAGAGCAGCACCAAAATTCAAAATTCTGCATGGCAGGGAGTGGTGGTATCTTCATAACCTGTTTGAACAGGGGCCCTGTCCCCAGCAGACAGGTAACACTTAAGGACCATAGACCCTGTGGCACTGTGAGGCAGCAAGATAAATCTGGTATTTCTTAATCTCCATGAAGTGGTTCATTAGCAAATTTAATAACTGGCTCGTTGAAACCAAGTGTGAAGACTAAATCCCATTGTCTCTTTATTGTGGCAGTTGCCGATTTTCAAGGGATTTGTTTTTACTATAAAGCATTTCAGTGGCTTAGCAGTTCATTTTATTGTCTTTTACTGACTAGCTGTGTTGGGAATTCAGAGGTCTGAATTTGCAGCCTCCATGAGAAAACCAATTTCATATTAAGTTTGCATTGACCAGTAACTGAAACAGAGCAGGAATACAAACAGTTTTATCTTGCACCTTTGGGAGCATAATTCAGTTCTGCAAACACATTTACCACGTAATGGCATTTATTTAATTATGTACTGAAAAAATTTATCCTATAATAAAACTTTTCTTATCCCCTTGGGTATGTCTTGTCTTATTTAGATTTCAGAGTCTCCAAGGTAGGGCTTGTGTCTTATCTGTTGCCTTAATCCTTTGGATCGTTGCCGTAGGAGGCATCACTGACTTCAGTGGAACTCTTCATGTAAGCAAAAATGTGTAGGCTTAGGCTGTCTGTCAGCAGGACTCAATTCATCATGCTGTGTAATCCTGTTTTTTATCATTAATGGATTTCAATCTCTGGTTTAAACACATGTTTTATGTTGCAATGCAAGATGTAAGCAGAAGTGTGTATTCTACCACCATCTGTTAAACCCAGGTGGGGCAGTTGTTCTTTATCTCTCCCACAGCCAATCCTCCCTCCAGGAGCTCTCTGCTGTCCATGGCCCATTCATTATTAATCACCTCCTGTCCATGGCCCATTCATTATTAATCACCTCCTGTCCATGGCCAGGGAGTGTCCCTGCAGGGCTGATCCAATCCCAGCATCCCATGGGGAGATGCCCCGCCCAGGGGAGGAGCCAAGCATTCCTACCTGGATCCAATCTGAGCTTTGGGACGCCCCAGCAGCCTCTGCCCCCTGCACTGCCAGAGGAGCGGCTTTCTGCTGCCCCGCATGGCCAGAGGGAGCCCAGGCCCATCTGCAGCAGCCCTGGAGCTGCAGAGGAAAACTCCCCCCTTGTGCAGGATCCCTGCTGCAGCAGAGCCACAGCTGGCACTGCAGGAGGGCTGAGCCCCCATGGGATGGGGCTGGGACACCGCCCTGGCACTCAGGGGGCAGGGACTGTGATCACTCTGGCTGTGGGTTGTTTTCTTTTTGTACTATTGCATTTGTATTGTTAATGTTCCTAGTGCAGAACTGTTATTCCTATTCCCATATCCTTGCCTGAAAACCCCTTAATTTCAAAAGTACAATAGTTCAGAGGGAGGGGGATTGCATTTTCCGTTTCAGGGGAGGCTCCTGCCTTTCCTAGCAAACACCTGGCTTTTCACACTAAGACAACACAGCTCTCAGAGGACATGTGAGAACAGCCCCAGCTCCTCAGTCACTGTGGATGTAAGCCTTGTGCTGCTGTGTAACCCTGGAGGAAGTGTGTGACTCAGCAGTGAAAGGAACACAACAGCCTTCACCAAGTCTTGCTTTAGGGCCTGAGTCCCTGGGTGGGTTAGGACTCCGTGCCTGCTTCCTTCCAGCACCTGCATACCCTCATGGGGATCCTCAGCACATGGTCATATTTGTGCAGCTTGCTCAGGGTTGGTTTCTTCACTGCCAGGACAGGAGCATTTACCAAGCACTTCATGCACGTTAACAGTTCTCCTTTCAGTGAGCATTTCCACTGGACCAGATTCACAAGGAGTAAAAACTGTCATGGTGTGACAGACATCTTTTATGGAAAATCCTTTCCTTAGGATTTTTCCTCCTGAGAAGCTGAGAGGCCTCAGGAACAAAATGTAAACAGTGATTATCTGCTGCTGTGGAATGCAACAGGTGCATCTGGGATTGGTCTCATGTGGTTGTTTCTAATTAAAGGCCAATCACAGTCAGCTGGCTTGGACTCTTTGTCCAAGCCACAAGCCTTTGTTATCATTCCTTCTTTTTCTATTCTTAGCCAGCCTTCTGATGAAATCCTTTCTTCTATTCTTTTAGTATAGTTCTAATGTAATATCTATCATAAAAAAATAAATCAAGCCATCTGAAACATGGAGTCAGATCCTCGTCTCTCCCCTCACCCTCAGACCCCTGTGAACACGGTCACAGCCATGGATCCAGTGAGCTCAGCAGAGGGACACGGGCCAGTGTCAGCACAGATCTCAGCTCAAAAGCAGGGAGGAAACTCCAAACAGAAGGAGAGCCCATGAGGAGCAGCTTACCTCCGAGCGCCCGAGGCGGTCCAGGTTGGAGATGTCGTAGATGTCAGCCACAGCTGCTGTGTCCACCCCGCCTGTGCCGCGCTTCTGCAGCCGCAGGTTCTCCAGGATTTTGGAGAACCTGGGGTCCTGCCAGGAGAAACAGCCTTGAGTTTCCAGTGTGCCTCCCACTGTGTGTATGAGCAGAGTCACCGCGGTGCTGTGACCCTCACAGCGCTGCCACAAGGACAGGCAGAGGGGGAGAGTTCTCTCACTCCTTGGGGTACAGCCCCTCTTTGTGCCTTCCCGCTAGGCAGATTGATTTCCACAACAAATACAGCAATTCGCAGCATTACAGCACGCTCCTTCAGCCGTGCCCTATCCCCACACCTTGTTACACATGTCCTTTTAATGTAAGCTGCCATTTCTCCTCTGCTCCCTTACACCCCAGGAGAGCTGGCCCATGTCACGTTTAAACCATGCCACATTTGTGTCCCCTTGCCCCGTTTCAGTGCCGTGTACCTTGCTGAGCCTGGGCAGCTTGACGTGGACCCCTGCCCGCAGCCCCGTGCCCAGGTTGGAGGGACAGGTCAGCACGTAGCCCAGGCGCTCGTTCCACATGAACTCCCAGCCGCGCTCCTTGATCAGCCTTTCCACCTGGGCGGGCACAGAAACAAAACACAAAGGGGCAGGTTTACAAGTGCCTGATTGCCAGGTGCCAGCGCAGTGGCAGGAGTTTGCGGCTGGGTGCAGTCTGGTCTAGGTGTGGTACAAATGTTGGCACTCCTCAGGTAACCAGAAGGATTTATTCACTGCCTTCTCATGACTACTGATGTGGGAAATGGATTTGTAGAGTTCTCAGGGCCTGGCAGAAGGCTCACACAGTGTACAGACCTTGAGACAAGAAATCTTGACTTAGAAATGCCATGGAATGGACAGACATTGCTGAGAAAGAAATGGAGCTAGAAAAAAGTTTCAAAAGGTGGCCTTGTAAATAAGGCTGGATACTTTGGAGAAACAGAACTGTGAAAGATGCACTGTAGTGGGACCCACAAGGGGTAATTTTAGATAATTGGCTTTAAGGCATCTACAGCACAGTGTGGCTAAAGCTGACAGGCCAAGAAACTCTTACAGTGTACTGCAATTAACAAATAGTTAACTTCTGATTGTGATGGAGTGAATTATAACATCTGTACTGCCTCACTGTTCAAATGAGACTGAAAATGGAATACGAGTTTTTAAAACACCTCTCAGTTGCCCCATCTCTGGGTCAGAAAAAAGTATAATCCAAGAAATTACCTTGCAGGCTCTTGGCCACTTCACCAGAGAACTCCCTGTTGTGGTGTTTTGGTAAAGCCTCGGCCCATGGAGCCAGGTAGGATTTCAGTTAAGAGTTGTGGCTTTTGCCATTTGTTTATAACTCAGTAGTTTTGAACCAGGTTTGCAACACAGGTGCCCAAAGGACTCAAACACTATGAAGCAAACAGAGGGACCTGAACATGGGCTTTGTGTTGTTTTCTAGCTGATGTCATGACTCCTTGAAGAGAACATTTGGCCTCTTAAGTGCCATACTTCCATTGTAAGGAGACAACACAGCCTGTAGGTAAGACTTCTAATTAGTAGGTCTCTGACCAGAATTGACAGGAGAGTGAAATAATTACCAGCAGGAACATCACAAGGATCTACTGCCATTTGAGTAACCTGGTATTCTGTTCACCCCCCTGTGCTTGTGCAAACCCAATACAATTCCAGGTCAGTTCTCCTCTCCCCCTGAGGAGAACTGGATGCATAAATCAGCTCATGCTCACAGGACTCCCATGAATACAGCTGAACACTTCAGGTCTGCAGGAGGATACAGAATAAATTACTCTCCCAGCATAATGTCTATGTTTTGTGAGGGTCACACAATGGATGGTGGGAAACCAGACCTGATTTTCTGCCCCAGACCCCTGCTGAGGGCACAGCTCCCTAGAGCTGCCCCACCACTTTCCATGCCCATGTCCACAGGCTGGCACGAGGGGCAAACCTGGGGACGGCACCTGGGGGCTCTCACCACCTGTGCGGTGCTGGTCTCACAGGTGTGCCTGGAAACCCCCCCTGGAAACTCTCAGTAACCACCTTGGTGCCAGCAGAGCATAGCTCAGATGGCTTTGCTTTTCTGTGCCCCAAAACCCACTGCAAACCCTAACTCTGACCCAAACCATTCCAGGGTTCCTTGATATTGCCTGTGGGGCACAGTAGTACCTATTTCTCTGGTAAATCAACTTTTTTTTGGCGCCAGAGCAGGTGAGAGGGCTGTACTGAGCCCAGACCCAACCTGAGTCATACCTAGGTCTGGGCAAAACTGTTTTAACCCATACCCTGTCCCAGGAAGCCTTTCTTATCATTGTGATTAGCCACACCAAAATAATACCCAGGAGCCCTGACTATCAGTTCTCAGTATTTTAATCACAAACCCCCATATCTCCCCAAAATAGTGGGTGCTAAACCCTCAGTCCTGTGCACAACCTCAGCAGCTTCCACTGTGCTCCCAGCCTCAGAAATAAGAACCAGGACGATGGGCCAAATAAAGTCTTCAATCAAGCAAATCAAATGACCCAAACAAAGTGCTTCATTTATGATTTCCCACAGAAGAAGAAAAGGAAAAGAAAAGAAAAGAAAAGAAAGGAAAGGAAAAGAAAAGAAAAGAAAAGAAAAGAAAAGAAAAGAAAAGAAAAGAAAAGAAAAGAAAAGAAAAGAAAAGAAAAGAAAAGAAAAGAAAAGAAAAGAAAAGAAAAGAAAAGAAAAAATATTGTGGCACCAGCTCTCTGTCACAACTTTCCCAGGCATTGTCTTTGGGAAGGCTGTGAGAAGATAAGAGGAAATAATGAGAAACAATTCTTATCTTCACTTGCTGCACCTGTTCTTGTGCACATGTGGAATGTGTTATGGAGATTTGTTTACCAAAGGGTGGTTTCCTAATTGGACAATGGTGATGGTGTTTGGATTCCAGGATCAATTGGGTCCACCTGTTGTATCATGACTGTCTGTAAAGGCAAGGAGTTTCTTAATAATTGTGGAATAATAAAAGATTGATCAGCCTTCTGAGCATCATGGAGTCAATGCTAATTTTTACCCAGCTGGGGGTCTGCGACTACAGGATATTTATTTATTTCCCCCTACAACTCAGCTATTAATCTGTCCATGTTTCCTGCTTCAGCTGCATTGATGTGGGGTGTTGCGTGGACTGATGTGACTTCATTTCTTCATTTCATTGCCCCTGGAGATGTCAGCTCAGTGGGAACCACAGTGAGCAGGGGTGACAGCAGTGAACAAGCAGGAATGATGAGCTCATTGAGACACTACCTCTTTTAATCCACGGCAGAATCTTTCAAAGACACGCTTCATGTTGCCACCCTTCTCCATGGAGATCACCCTGGTGTGGTCCTCTTCATTAATCCAGATGAGAAATGTCTTCTCATTGTTGTGCCTAGTCAAGAGGGGAGGAAAAAAAAAAATTAATATCTTTAAAAAGGCAAGCCCTGAGAAATAACTGTCAGCATCCTTAGTTTTATCACAGTCTTCCCAAGCAGCAGAGATGTTAAAGTGCCATAATGGAGCTGCTGTGAGGGATGGGGGCTGGTTCCACCACGGGATCCCTCATGCATCCCTGTGGCATTGCAGGGCCTCCTGGGCACAGCGTGGGGAGGGCTTTGTGTCACATCATGCTGCTGTGGCCCTCCCTCGGGAGCACAGCTGGGGATGCAGCCAGGGGAGAAGCCAAGCTCTGCCCCCTCCCAGAAAACCCAAACACATGCATGCTGTTGGCAGCCGAGTAATGTGCACTTAGTTAATTTTTAATTTAATTTAATTTTGTTCTCCCCTGCCTCAAGCCTGAGTGTCCCTGGGAGCACTGGGTGTCTGCATCCCTCAAGGGATGTGTCTGGGATGCTTCATGTGCCTTCATTCTGTCCTTTCTGCTCAGCCAGAAAGGACAGAACCACTGAGCACCCACTCCTGCCTCAAACAGGCAGTCAGGGCTGGCTGTCAGGTGCTGGCTCACTTCTCCTGGCCTTTCCTCTGCTTGGCCACTCTCCTACTCCTGCCTTCCTGTTGGGCTCTCTAGCCAGGGAGAGTGACCCCAAGAAATGTTAGAAAGTCTCTTTTCCCAGCCTGGCACTTGAGGAAGGAATCAGAGCTCTTCATTTCTCGGTCTCAAGGTTGTTTGTTGTTCCTTGTCTATAAAATTCTTTTTTCTGCCCTGCCCAGGTCCACTCAGCAAGACAATCTAAGGTGCTTTGCCTGCCCCAGGGCAGTGTTATCTTTTTGTACTAAAAACTGCGTGTGCAATACTTACAGTTACTTCCCAATACCCATCACCTGTGTTAGACACTGAGCTTCTACTCTAAAGCAATCCAAAAGTGCCAACATCACCCAGAAGATGGAGGCCAAGAAGAAGAAGGAGAAAGGCTGGACATGCCCAGATCCCTCCATCTTGCCTCCTGAACCCCCATTCTAAAAAAACCCAAAATCTACTTTTTCACCCTGGGATAAATTCACTGTCATTCTACTTAATTTGTCATGGCTTGCAGATCTTCATCTGAGGTTGGTAACTTGCTCCATGGGTCACAATCAAACCCACACAGGGGCATTTTGGGCTCTCTGAGTGCCAGGGTCTCTGAGCCCCCTGGCAGGGTCTGGGCTGCTCGGGACAGACAGAGGGATCCCTGGCTCCTGACACCTTCCTACAGCACGTAGAGGGTGATGGATGGGATCAGACTCATTTGTGCCAGCAGTGAAACACCACCAGGTTTGAGGCACATTAAAGTGAAAGCTCAGGATCACTGAGAGCCTGACTTTCAGCTGGTCTTTTGCCACGTCTCCTTTTCCTTCTTGCAGTTGGATCTGGCCAGGGCAATGCTGAGCAGGGTACGCATCCTGCGTCCTGACACTGGGGCCAGGCCAGGTCCAGCCACCTCCTCCTCAGTCGTGCTCAAATGCTGAGGGAGGGTTTTATAAGTAGTCTGAGCTTGGCCTAGCTCCCCTCCCCTTTCAGTTCAGCGAGCGTCCCCATTGCTGTCAGGACCATGCACTCAAACTGTGCCGTTGCTGGCAGTGCTGTTGGTGGAAATGGTCTGCAGCCCATGACAAGGACAGGATCGTCAAAAGCAAAATTATTTCCACAATGTACACGCTTTTTGACAGCAATTTTTTTTTTGCAAGAGAAAGGCAGGTTTTCAAGATGCGGCTTACTGAAGAACTTTCCAATCGCACTGATTTTTTCCCTTCCATTCTCCCTGGTATGTCACATGTAAAAGAAGCCAAAACCCAGGTCTGTTTTATTCAGGAAATCCCTGGATAGCAATTATGCTGCTGGTACTTCTGTTTGTAGAGACAATGAATGGATGCCTCAAGCTTTATCCTTTTCCTCAAACTTCCATTGGGACCAAAGAACCTGCAGCTTGTTGATCTCATAGGAAGCTTGTTGAAATTAAAAAATCCTCACAGTTTTCCAGCAGGTCGCTGGGTTTGGGGGTGATCAGGTGTCACACTAGGTGATTCCTCAGAATGCTTTTTGCCCGTTTTTCCAGGGTTGAAGCATCTGGCAATGCCTGCAGTGCAGCAGGATGGATGCACTGCACAGCTGCCCCATCCTCTGCTGTTGGTTTGGGCTCTCAGAGCTGCTACCCCTTCATCTCCACAGCAGATATTGTATTTGGGCCCAAAATCAAGTGTGTTGGGGCAGTAGAAACAGACCTAGAACAGAGCAGGAGATCCAACTTCCCTGTCTCCTTCTCATCCAGCTCATTTGGAAGGAAAGGGGCGCTTTCAGCCCTGGGAATTCAAACATTTCTCTTTTTGAAGCAAGCTGGGCATGCTGTGAGCGCGGGGCCCGGGTTCGTGCAGGGTTAGGACCAGCAAGGAGGTTTGTAAGACAATCCTGGGGCAGGAGACGGGAGCCTGCAGGTCACAGCACCTACCAGATGCCCCTGGCGTCCGGCCAGTCACGGGCCATGCCAGCACATGTCAGCAGCGGGGACACGGGCTTGTCAAAGAGAAAGTGATCCTGGGCACGGGACAGGGCCACAGGGAGGCAGAGAGACAGAGAAAACAGAACACAGCTCCAGTTTATCCAGGAAGCACCGCAACCCTGTCCAGTGCATTCTCGTGAGGGCAGTGGAAGCGCAAGCAAATCGCACAGCGCAGCCTGGGAACCTTTGCTGGAAATTAAAATCTCTTTACCCAGGAGATTTTCTTAACTCTCACAGATGCTGGCTGATGTGTTTTGCCAAAACCATTTTTCAAATGTAGGGAGGGGTGGGTGCTGGGGTCTAAATCCACATGGACACAGCAAAGGATGCTCTGGAGGACCTGGCTCCAGAGATCTCCTCTGCATTCAGACACATTTCAGCATAGGAGAAGTCAACGAGTTCTTAGAGAAATTGGGAAAAAGAAAACAACAAAAACCAGACAATAACAAGAGCTAGTTCTGAAAAGATATTTCTCCAGCATGGAGATTTAGATATTTATTCTGAGCATGAACTCAAGGTAGGAATTGAATCAATGCTAATCTCAAGCCTTTGGAATCATAGGCTTGTTATATTCCTTAACAGAGATGCTGTTTGTGACTTAATAAATGTAGCACATGCTGTGCCACCAGCTTGCCCCATGCCTAATAGTTTAGAATTTTTTAAACAATTTGCTTCGGGTTCCACACCCCACCCCACCCCCCCCCCCCCCAAGAAAATACGTATTTTATATTGATTTTCATGTGTGTGCCAAAAAAAACTAGTATTTCTTAATTCCTTCAACACTGCCATATCAAATATCGAGGGCTTTTTGCTGGCAGTGTTGTTGATTTTATTCCTTTTTTTTTTAAACTTAGAGCTTAACTAGAAATAGTGACCAATCTATCCAGAAGGCATATGACGTGGTAGACACATTGATGTGCTTTAGTTAATCTTTCCCTTAATGAAGAATGAAATAATTATTTTCCTCATTTCACTTAGGTTTTCATCTTTGAATTGTTTGCAATGGACACGATACGTGCAGAACCCCAACCGTGCAGGAAGAAAAGGTGTAGAGTTCTCTCTGTTCTTCAGAGGGACACCAAATTCCCTTCCTCAGCTTGCTCCACTTGACACTTTCCTTGAAACACAAACCCCCCTTTTTTTGCAAGAAAAGAGATGTTACTTTTCCTCATGAGCACATGGCTCGAATCTGTAAAACGCCAAATGCCTTCTGTGCCGAGTGCCGTTCAAGTAGCCCTGATTTATCTCACTGAAATAAACCCTGCTCTTGCAGGGCTGAGATGGAGCCTTTGGAGGCTGGCAGGAAGCCTGATCCCACAGAGGGGCCAGGTCTGAGCTGCTGGAGGGGTGAGCACTGCTGTGTGGTGAGGAATGAATCTCAGGCCACAACATCAGTGTCTGATCTCTACAAATTTGTGTTATCAATCACGAAACAAAAGAAAACGAGATAAAGTGCTGTTTCAGGGAAGCCTATTCCACTTCCCACAGGATTTAGCCTTAAACCATGAAGGAATTATATTTTCCACATTCCTGTTTCAACCTCTACATCCTGAAGAGCTGTCTCCTGCTGAAAATAAAACCTGCAACAGGTCATCAACATCTTGTTAATAAACGTATCACCACGGACATTCAATACTGACCTTACATAAATTCTTAACTCCTGGTTAATCCAGACACCTGGTTCCAGGGTTATAAATAGTCATGTTACTTCATCGGTTCCCCTTTGGTTGATGTTATGGAATAATGTGCCATGAGTATAGCTAAGAGGGTACAGCCACTCCTTTGGACACTTAAAATGCACATTCAAGCTTTGTTTGACACATCACATGCTGTGACAAAATCCATGGTGAAATCCTTGTCTTTCCATCTGTGTGACAATGAAAACTCTTGTTGTGGGCCTGGTCCTTCAGTTCCCTGACCACAATGACAGGGCTGGGAAAAGGTCTACTTTTGGAAAATTAGAATTTGTGTAGTGTTTGCTTATGAAATTACCACCAAGTTTTGGCAAATTAGAATTAGCATCATTTTGATGTAGAGAAATCACAAGCAAAGACCCCCACCGCCACAGAATGGAGTAGAGATCCCATGTAAAACCTATCCCAGTGCAATACTTTTAGTCAGAATCATTAATACAGAAAGCATCACAGTTTGCTCAAGGAGACAACCAAGGAAAGGTCCTGAATTTACCTCTTTACTTGCCCACAGAGGTGGCAGCAGCCACGTGGATTTGATTTGACACAGGCCTCACTCTCTGGCATATAAACCCACGCCTCAGACCCGCACAGTGGTGTACTTAACAGAAATACAGACCCTGGGTGGCTTGCTAAATTACAAACCTTGACAGCCCGTTAGGGACAGGTTAATGATGCCGTTATCCCGCCGGGCAGTGTGCGCCCGCGGGCAAAGCAGAGATTGAACTAAACCGGAGCCTACGCAGGCGCTGCTGGCGTGTTGGGGAAGATGGAACAGGAAAGCCTTACAAATATGATTGTCGGGCAAAAGATTTTGGGAATATAGAAACTATAAGAGAGACGGAAATGAAAGCAAGCTTTGAGGTGCCTCAGTTACTGAACAAAGGGAAAACAATGACATGGCTGGCTGAAGGTGATCCCCTATTGATGGAACAACACCCTCTGCTTGCAGACAGGCCCAAGGGTCAGAGAAGACCCTACAGCTTGGCAGAAGGGGCCCAAAGAGGAGTTTGTAGGGTTTGAAATGTAACACAGGATGGTAATGTAATGATTCTTATAGGCTGTATGGAAATGCTTGTAGGTTTTGCATGTTGTACTAGACTGGTTAGTGAGAATCAGAATATTCAGCACAGAAGATAATTTATGGTATTGTAATGGGAACCTTGCATTCTTACTCTTACTCTTACTCTTACCTCTTGTCTCTTAACCTCTTGTCTCTTAGCTCTTGCCTTTTACGCTCTTACCCCTTTTACTCTCTTACACTTTTACTCTCTCACCCTGTCATCCTCTCTGCCCCTCTTTTCTCTCAGGCGTGCTCTGAGCTGTGTTTGGCAGCTCCCAGCAGGGCCCTGCACCCAGGCCCTTTGCAATAAACCCCAAATCCCTGACCTGGCCTCAGAGATCTCTCATCTCCTTCCATCCTGACCGTGCTACCCCCATCAATCCTACGCCGGTGGACTTACATCGATGAGCTGCTGCTGCTCGCGCTCGGTCATGCTGGTGAGGCTGTAGTACTTGCCGGCCAGGTCGCCGCGCAGGCCGGAGAGCGCGGTGACCACCACGTTCTCCACCTCGCGGCGCTCGGCGCGGCTGCACGCGGGCGGCAGGCTCAGCCCGCGGATGCTGCGCCCCGTGCGCACCCGCGACGACAGCACGTAGCGCTCGTCAAACTGCCCGTGCGTGATCTGGGGGGGGAAAACAACCACAACAGTGGTATTGGCCTTTGGATTTATGCGTGTGATAAGTCTGCGGCGGAAAACGACCCGACGGTATTGGCTTTCGCGTTTACGTGCGCGATAAACCAGTGTGATTTGCACTAATTGTTGTGGCTGTATCAGTTACGTGGTAAATAGGTATCACAGAATCGCAGAATCACAGAATTTTTAGGTTGGAAGAGACATTTAAGATCATCGAGTCCAACCCATGTTCTAACACTTCAACTAGATCAAGTGCCATATCCAGTCTTCCCTTAAACACATCGAGGGATGGCGACTCCACCACCTCCCTAGGTAGATGATTCCAGTGTTTTACCACTCTTTCTGTGAAAAACTTAGTGCTGACAAAATTGAAACAGTCATCAATGTTGATACAGTAATTAATATTTGGAAATAATAAAACAGTTAAAAGGTGTAATGCCAAGAAAGAAAGGGAGAGGAGGGCGTTCCACACACATACACCCCCCCCCCACACACACCCCTTTTCCTGCGACGTTCAAGGCAGGAAAAAGCAAGGGATAACAGTTACTAAAAATTAACGGAAAGAAAGGAAAATCTAGTTGGGTCCCAGGAAAATGTTGAGAGATTTATTTATAACATTTATAAAATGTTATGTGAGATTTATTGCTTTGATGCTTAAATATAATATTATCTTATATTATATTAGCTTTGGCTTACATTATAATAGCTTGATGCACATGTGTAAGCCAAGGGTGAATTAAAGGACATCGAGGAAGAGGAGAGGCCTTTATCAGTGACGACCCCCAAAGAGTGGTGCGACCACCAAAACCAGTGGTGGAGCATGCGCAGTAAAGGTGGTGATGAGGGCGGAGGTAGAAGTGCGATGAATCAAAAATGGGAGGAGATGGCATTGACACATGGCACAAAAGGGGGAATTTTTGCTTGACAAGCTCGTATGTGAGGTGGCAGGTGTCCAAGGACCCTGCACTCCATACCCTGTGCGGTTATTTTTTTCCTTATGCACTATTATTGGAACCAAATTATCCCTTATTTTAACCAAATTATATTGTCAATATTTCAAGTCTATCCGATTTTAGATATTCTAAGCTATTCAATTAAAATTGCTGCTACCTTTTTTGGTTTTTTGGATGATGGGATATTTAGGCAAATATAACATGTGTGTAATAAATCTGCAGTGGAAAACGACCCAATAGTAGTTTATGTGTATGATAAACTAGTGTGATTCTTGCTCACCGTTGTAACTATATCGGTTATATATTTTAGAAAATATTTGTTTAAAAGTGTGGCATTCGCATTTTCTGAAAAAATCCCTTCTGTCACCCTGATTTTTCTAAGCCTTTTGATGTTTACATTCTTGTAATGAACTTTCTTGCGCACTTTATGTAAATAACATGCTGTTTTGCATTCTTTTATGGAGAAGGAGAAATCTGATGGACTGTTGGTTTGTCCAGCGTCACTGGAGGAGTAGCACTGTCATCCTCCAATCCACTGTCACTTTTGGAAATCTGTGAATGTTGGAGTCAGAATTAAACTTCCCTTTTTTGCCTTGAGAACAGCAGTGTGTGTGTGTTGTGTTATTTCATGTCCTACAGTGACACCCTCCACCCAGGATTTTTCTCTTGGGAAGCTGAGAAGCCTCAGAGAAAAAGAAAACAATATTATCTCATTTGCTTCTCCTGTGTTTTGGTGCTTTGGAATGTGTTTGGAGATTGTTTACCCACAGGTGATTGTTCCATTGGATTCTGCTGTGAGCTGTTTTCACTCTTTGGCCAGTCAGGGCCAAGCTGTGTCGGGACTCTGGAGAGAGTCACAAGTTTTCATTATTATTTTTTTAGCATTCTGTAAGTATCCTTTCTGTATTCTTTAGTATAGTATAGTTCGGTATTCTTTAATATTATATAGTATCTTAAAATAATAAATTAGCCTTCTGAGAACATGGAGTCAGATGCATCATTCCTGGCAAGTACAATAAAAAAGTAATAGAGAAACAGGAGATGTAATTAGTGCCATGAAACATATGTTTTCAGATGTTCATGGGAAAATAGGAGGCAGGGTGTAGTATGAGATAAGTAACATCCCAAACCGAATAGGCCTCGGGATAATTAGTCGGCCTTGAAATGGACAAAATTGGGATGATTCCAGGTATCTATGAAATAATAAGGCTTATTTTTGGAATATAATGCTGGCTTCTATGACACAAGACTTGGGGCACATCTGCAGCCTGAGGGGTTGTTCAAAGGACAGTCATGATGAGGAGAAGCCTTCATCAGAAGAGCCAAAAGGCCCCTTAGCAACAACTGGAGCATGTGCTGTGCAGTATGGTGACACAGATTTCAAGAACCAAAAATAGGAGGAGATTTACAGGAGAATATTGATGAATATATATTAGCATACAGTACATAAGTTGTGTTTGGATCCTTTTGCCTTTTGTACATGAGGCAGAGTGAGAAAAACTCTCCCCCATACCCTGATCAATCAGTTTTGCTTATGTTTTATCCAAACCACTGCCCAATTTCTTTTTGTGTCTATCTGCTTGATTATATTTGATTATATCGTTTTATATAAGATTGCTGCTCAATCAAAATTGCTGCTAAATTTTAATTTTGTGGTTTATTAAATTAGACATATAGGGTCCTCATTCATAACATTGGCTTATGCATGTTGTTAGTGATTATAACTCTTTAGAGATAGTATCAATTATAACTTTTTCTATCTGCATGTTAGTGTGAAAAATATAATCTATCAGCTTAAGTGTGCACTGTGTGGCTCGTGGAAATAGTAGTGTAATGAATACAATATCTGGGAAAAACTAAATTCACTTGTGTTAAAATTTTAGAAGTTTAATAGTAATGAAAGCAGTAATGAAAATAGTAATAAAAATTAGGACAATGAAAGACAATAAAAAGTAAAGAATTACGGATGTCTGGGTGCCTGGTACTCTGTCACAGAGCACACCTTGCAAACAAAGGATTACCCCTTAAAAGCTATAGCCTTTTGCATATTCATGTATCTCATACATGATTCAAACAGTCCTTTCAAAACAGGGTATTTCTGCTTAATTTCAGCTTCACCCCATCTTGTAAATCAACCTTCTTGATTCCTCGAAGTCTGAGCTTTCCCAATAAGGAGGCAATAATTCTTTTCTTGGGATCTTGGTGTCTGGTTTTGTTATCTCTACCAGTTAGGATAATGCAAAGAATTTCTTGGTTATCTTTTCCATTCCTTGAGCTAGTTACAAACATCACATAGTTTCTATTTTAATATTATGCTATAGTCTTATAAGTATATTTACCACACTACTAAAAAGAGAGTAATACAGCAGTACTTAAAAGAGATTAATACAGCATAACTTTCCAACATAACACATATAGTATTCATTTTAATATCTGTGAAGAGCCAATCATATAATATGCATCTATAACAATATCTATGTATTGCTTATGGAAATAATAGTGTGAGGAATGTTCTGTGTTGTTGGAACCCTGGATGCTGAGAATTTTAAATTTTCTGTGCTGAAAGGCACAGACCCACAAAGGAGCACTGCATTTGACCTGAGGCTGTGCAAAGGCTTCCAAAATTGATTAATAGCACAGGTGTGTATTTGGTTAGAAATGTGTAATCTCATAGGGTGAAAAAAACTTAGATTTGGGGTTTTTAGTATATGGGAGCCAAGTCGGAGAATTTTGGGTGTGGACTAGCTATCTTTTTTTACCTTCTTCGTCCTTCCTCTTCACGAATCTGGGTGGTTTTCTCTAACAGGGTGAAAGATATCTGCATTGTTTTGAGTGATCACAGCTGGGTTAGAAGCATAAATAATATGGATGTCAACTGTTTATTGGCTAATTTTCAATTATTATTATTATTATTATTATTATTATTATTATTATTATTGTTATTATGTAATTGGGACTTAAGTAGCCTTGAACAGACACCATTTTGGGGCACTTTCTGGACGTTTTAGGGAGAGCTCACATCTTGTGAGTTTGTAATAGATAAGGATAGTAAACTTCAGAGTGAGACTGCAAAAACATTTCCTGAGTATTATTCACCCTGACCTTGGTGCAAGAAAGAGCCTGGCATTCCAACACTGTGTTATAGACCTTAGCAAAACATCAGATGTAAAAAAGGCTTTTGTGTAACTAAAAGCAGTGTAAGACCATCCGCTGACCAACCTGTCCAAGTGATATTATATATATTATATTATATATAAAGCTGTGACACAAACCAGAGCACTGGAGGACAATTAGGGAATACCATGTTAAATTTAAGGAGGACGTACCAAACCCTTATCAGAGGATGTGAAAGAGCAGGATGGAGACACGAGAAGAAAGAAAATATATTGACCTGACACGCAGCATGTCATGCAGACAAGCTGGAGTGTGAAGAGGTCGAACAAAGGAGTTCCCTGCTGAGAACAAGGGATGCAGCTGACAGGGCCACGACTGGCATCCCAATTTCCCTAAACTTAAAACTGGGTCTCCACGGCTGGATCAAGAAAAAATGAAAGTACTGTTGCACACAGCACCATCACTGGAATAAGCAACTCAGAGCCTTTCCTGTCTCGTTGATTTATTTCAGTCCTACCTTGGATGCATCCAGGTCCGTGTGATGCCTCATTGTCCGTGGATCATAGCCGTTGTGCCTGGCTTTAATGACAGGATCAAAAATCTCAGCAAACACCTGAGGAGGCAAGAGAATATAGAGAGAGTCTGCAGCATCAGAGAAACATCCTCAGAGCAGCTGCAGGCAGGCAGAGGTTCCTGTCTGCAGTCACCACAGACAGGGACCCAGCAGCCAGGCTGGGGTTTGGGGTGCATTTCCAGCCAGAACACGCACCCAGAGCCCCCCAGCCTCTTGGCTCTTGGCTCTAAGCCATGCAGGAGTGCCCTGAGTCTTCCCTGCTGTGGGGGCAGTTGTGGTTTGAGCCCCTGGGCTCAGGTGCGCCCCAGCAGAGCCCCTGCAGGGGAGCGGCAGTGGCACATCTGCACAGGCACCCCAAACCCAGCGAGTCTGGAGGGGCAAATGTCCCAGGCCCCCTCACAGGACACGGGCGAGGCTGCAGAGGAACAGGCAGCAAGGAAGCAGACCATAGGGTCAGTAACAATGAGATCTTTCTTTTGTTTTCCACTTCTCATTGCAGAGCTCAATGACCTGTCCGCCCTGATGCTGTTTGTCTTCAGTATTCCTCGTATCCAAAGTGATGCATGGCACTGCCCAGAAGACATTTCTGCTTGCTTCTGCCTCTGCTGCTTCACAATGTGATTTCCACATTAGGTTCATTTGGTGTGCCTCAGAGTTGGACAGTTTTCCCATAAATTTGGTTTAGTTTCAGGAAGGAGGAGAGCTGCTGGAGGCAGGTAGCAGCTGCTGCCAAGCAGGTACATTTTATTACCTTCAGCTACAGCAGAGGGGGCACCTGTGGTAATACCACATGTTCCTGCTTTTCCTAATGTGGAAAAGTCGGGAGAAATAGGGAAAACAAGCCTGCCCCCAGTGTACCCTCAGGGACACAACTTGTCTTAGGAACATGCTCCATCCAGGGAATCTGTGATGGGAACAACACCATGAGCACAGGCCCGGCCAGTCCTGCGGAATCCTCTCACCTCATAGGACTCCTCGTCCCCAGCCACCATGCCCACGGTCTTGATGAAGGGGTGGCCAGGGTTGTCCACCCCGGTCTGGATGCACTGGTCCAGAGTGTACCCGTTGGGGGTCATCTTGTCCCTGAGGCGGGAGTAGATGGCCGGGGTCAGGCACTCGGCCATGCAGTTGTTGTGCTTGCGCAGGTCGGGGTAGTCAGCGCTGCAGGGACAGAGCACAGGGCAGGGTGATGCCATGGTTTGCCTCACACACCCCAGGTTTCTCCATGAAGATTCCTTCCCCAGGTGTGTCAGCCTCTCCTTTCCCCTCCCAGCACTGTCTGTCACTCCTGGCATTCCAGAAGGGCGTTGAATTCCAAAGATGCCCTCCACCCCTGGAGGACATTGGGCCATCCAGGTGTCCTTTGGCCCTTTGTCCCTCCCCTCCTGTCCCCGCTTGGTGGCTCCCTGCCCCTTCCCTGCCCCTCTCCCCGGGGTTAAAGGAGCAGCAACCACGGGCCCAGGGAGTTCTGTTGGAGCTGGTGCTGCATTCAGAGGCCTGTGGGCCAGAATAAAGCTCTGGATCCAAACCCTCCCTCAGAACCGGCTCCTTTCCTTCACCATCGCCTCAAAGCTTCTCCACCAAGGGAAACCTGAGCTCCTCAAGCCTGGACTTGTCTCCACGTGCTCAGCTGCAGCATCCAGCCAGCCAAAGGTGTCTGTGGGGTGAAACACCACACACAGACCAGGCCAAAGGTGTCTGTGGGGTGAAACACCACACACCCACCAGCCAAAGGTGTCTGTGGGGTGAAACACCTCACACCCACCAGCCAAAGGTGTCTGTGGGGTGAAACACCACACACCCAGCCAGCCAAAGGTGTCTGTGGGGTGAAACACCACACACAGACCAGGCCAAAGGTGTCTGTGGGGTGAAACACCTCACACCCAGCCAGCCAAAGGTGTCTGTGGGGTGAAACACCACACATTGCACAGCCAAAGGTGTCTGTGGGGTGAAACACCACACACCCACCAGCCAAAGGTGTCTGTGGGGTGAAACACCACACACCCACCAGCCAAAGGTGTCTGTGGGGTGAAACACCACAGCTGCCATGTTTGGTCAAGCAGCAAGGGCCAGACAAGCCAAGGCACATCCCATCCAGCTATATTGGTATTTTTCCAATACCAAGGCATTACTGTGTGCCCTGGACAGTCACACAGAGAAACTTCTGTCTGAAGTTTCTCTCATCTGCCTCATGATCTGTGAAAGGACAGAAACTGGGAGCACCACAAAGGCCCTGGTGGGAATCCTGGCTTTGCTGGAGATGGTTGCTCACCAAGATCCTGAGGCCTGAGCAGAGCTTCTGGCCTGCCAAGCTACTGTTTGCAGGTGTGTTTGCTGTATGCAACACTGAACCCAGTGAAAGGAGAAGGGGCACCTTGCCCTTCTTCCCCTGCACCTGCTTTTGGCAACAATAGCCTGGAATTTCCCTACCTTTTGTCCTGGTTGGACTTTTCTGGGGTAACTTTTGGTGCTCCCCACATAAGACCCTTCATGTGTTTTACAACCACCGTGACAGACAGACTGAGATGGGAGAAGCCTCTCTCTCAAGGACTGAGACATGAAACCCCTGAATGGAGAAGCTCCCCCTGCTCCCAAAGACTGGGACTGAAACCCCTCACCTGGTGAGGTGTGTGGGGGAGCCAACGTGACCAAAGCCAGACGTTTGCCTGCAGGTGTGGCCATTGGACCAAGAAGACAATGGTTCTCACCTACTGCTGACTATAAAGAGCCTATAAAGGCTTGAGCAGTGTCTTTGAGATCCCCCCTGACATGACTGGACAAACTTCATTGACTGGACTTCGAAGGACTTTGTTCTACATTTCGTAGCTATATGCCTTCCTTTCTCTTCCTCCCTCTCTTTTCCCTACTTTTTCCCTTTCCCCCCCATTCCCTTTAACGCGTTTGCTGTGGTCATTCAATAAAGGTGCATTTGATTTTGACTATCACTGCAAACCCCTGTGCAGTGTCGGTTTTTGCACTCTGAGATCAATGAAACAACCATCACAAATCCCATTTGTAAGGACAGATTGTGACATCACCCTGGGCACTTTGTGAAGCTAAAAGTGTGATTATCCTTGGTCTGCTTGCTGCATTGGGTTTCAGGAGGGAAGGAAGGTGCGGGTGCTGAGCGTACCCTGCATTGTTCTGTGCTTTGTGCTGTGGGGCCATCAGGGAAATGGGGCACAAAGAGAGGGCACCGAGCCCCATGGCACATCTCAGCCAGGCAGGAAAGAGCCCCAGCACTGATTTGTTCAGTCAGACAGAGATTTAAGTTCAGATGAAGAGGTGCTCTGTAGTTCACAGCCCCAGGTGCTCTCACAGCCTTGTGGAGATCAGAGTGTGACCTGCCAGCTGGGAAATGCCTCTTCTGAAATATCAGGGTTTGGTTTAATTTGGCATTATTATTTCCAGAAAGCTGCAGGGTGAATGAAGCCAGGGAAAATAAAGATGTTAGGCTTCAGCAAGGGATTTTTCAACTGTCAGTCCCCAGCTACCTTGTACTGGCAGTGATTTGCTTTATGTACAGCTGTGGTGCTTCTCTAAGAATATATTTTAGCTAGGATTGTATAAATTACTTAAATAACAAAATAAGTCTGTCAGAGCGTGATCCACATTACCTTTGGCATAGTCAATCTATGGAGAAAAAGGCCTGTAATTAATTTCTAACCATCAGCCAGTCAGTTTGTAACAGAATTAGGAGTATTTCCAGTACAGCAGTAACACAAGGCATTATTACTGCTTGCATGGAGAAAATATTTTCACATTTTCCTGTAGTAGGGTCGATACAATCAGCAGATCCAATAGCTGGACCTGCAAAGCTGTTGGTTGGTGGTGAGTTAAATGTAATGATATAGTACTAAACTTGAGGCATATATTAAGCTTGTTGTCATTCAGCAGTGTTGGTTTTGGTTAGTTTGGGGGCATTTTTTGAGAGCTGATATTATCTCAGTGATGCCTTAGGATTGTAGCTTTAATATTTTTCAAATCCTGTGCTGCTTTAGGGTATAACTCTGAGCTCCATATAGAGTGTGAATTAGTGTCTTCACATTTTAATCAGACAAAACAATTCCTCTGGGCCTGAAGCCTCAGGCCCTGAAAGTATAAGCAAAAATGAGTTGGGGGGTAAATGACTTCATTACCTGAAGATGTAATTGGAGGATTAACCCCATAAATGCAAATGGACCAAACGAATAATTGTGTGAAAAATTTGTGACCATTTTTTAAAATCCGTTTTGGGTGCAGCCTCTGGGAGGCTTCTGACGGCCCAAAGTGTTCCTTTTGAAGGCCTTTAATAAATACCCACTTTATTATCTTGATCTTGCCTCTGTTCTAGGCAGCCACTCCAAGGCATCCTCACATCCCGGGCAGGCTGGAGCTGCCTGGACCTGGAGGTTGTTATAAGTACAAAAAGCTGCCTATTTTTTTTAAAAGGTTGCAGAGTTCACAGGTTGGGCAGGTTGCTGCCAGGGTGGAGTTCTACCTGTTTGTTATTGTAATCACTGGTCGTTTTCCTTAACTACCTGTTGTTGATGATACCTGGTTAAGAATTACGCCTTTTGTCAAGTGACACCCTGCTGCTTCCTAGGAGATGGCACCCAGACGGTGTGAGGCAAAGTGAAAATTTTCCAGGATAGAAATCCATTTTAATTTTGGTGAAATGTACATTTTTGAATTGAGTCTGTGGTTAGAAATCGTAGTTAGTTAGCCAGACTTCAAGGCCTAAGCTCAGTGAAGGACAGAGATAAAGGGGAGGAGACAGAAGATGATAAAGACAGGGACTGCTGTAAGGGCAAGTCAACCCGACCTCGGAATTCTTTCTGACAAAAAGGAACTAGTGGTACAAGTCACACAAAACCCATAAAAATGAGTATGTAAGAACCTATTGTGAAACTGTATGCAGATGTATTTGAGAGGAGGATAAAAAGGGACCTGAAGTTCCCAGAGGTACATGTGTCATTTTAGGGGAACAATTCCCACGTGTCCAGCGCTGTAATAAACATACCGGCTTTACAACTTTCACAAAGTTGTGGAGTACTTTTTCTTTTCTCCACAAAACAGATGGAGGGGAAGGGCATTGAGTCAACATGCAAATGACACCAGATCCAGCATGCAGCGGGAGAGGCCCCTCACCAAACCTAGCCAAAAACCCCTAAAACAGCGGGCCTAGACAAAATTGATGAATCAAAGTGATGTCTGGACGTGATGAACAACGCCCAGAGCCTGCAGAGACGCTGAGACCTTTTCTGCCCCTAACCACGAGGACCTTGGCTAGAGGCAGGACCCTGAAGGCCAAACTAGAAGAACAAGGTGTTATTCCTATGCTTTCATGAGGATGGAACCTCCAACTCTGCTCACAGACCATGGGACAAAGCTGGGAGGAAGAAGAGTGCAGCTTTGCCCCCTGGTCAGGAGGAGTCCCTCCTGGGAGCAGTGGTGGCGTGAGCGTGGTTCTCCCCACCCGAGCTGACTGCTTTAAATAAAGTCATTAACAAGGAGAAAAATCTCCTGCCCGTGTTTATTTCAGAGGCGCTGTCAGCTCTGCATCCCACACCCGGGGCTGGGGGGCTGTGGTGGCACCCCATCCCTGCCCACCTGTGCTGCTTACCTGGGGGGGAAGAGCTTCCTCTTCTCCTGCACGGCGGCGCTGACGGAGTTGTGCTGGCCCAGCAGGTAGCCCGTGGCCAGCACGCCCGTGCCCGCGGCGGCGAACAGCGCGGGCGCCGCGCGCCCCGCCAGCAGACGGCAGAAGGTGCCAGCCATTCCTCTCTGCAAGGAGCACAGACACGGTCAGCCCGGCCTGGAACCGCTCCCTGAGTGTCCTGAGCGCTTCTGGGTGTTATTCTAATGTGGCGTGGTTTGGGTAATGGGTGGTTGGCGCAGACATATGTTCCAGATTGCAATGCAAGATGTTTTCAATTACCATCTGTATGGCAGATCACCTTTGCCAAGTGGGCAGTTTGCCTTATCTCTCTCTTTGAGTGACCACATTCACACCTCCCTCAGGAGGGGACATTGCTGATAACAGACTATTGAATGTCACTGCATGGCTGATAAGAACTATAACATCCCGTTGTGAGATGCTCCGCCCAGGGGGAGGAGCCAAGCATTGCTGCCCAGATATAATCCAGGGGGAGGAGCCAAGCATTGCTACCCAGATACAATCCAGAGGGAGGAGCCAAGCATTGCTACCCAGATATAATCCAGAGGGAGGAGCCAAGCATTGCTACCCAGATATAATCCAGGGGGAGGAGCCAAGCATTGCTGCCCAGATACAATCCAGAGGGAGGAGCCAAGCATTGCTACCCAGATATAATCCAGAGGGAGGAGCCAAGCATTGCTGCCCAGATACAATCCAGAGGGAGGAGCCAAGCATTGCTACCCAGATATAATCCAGAGGTTTTTGAGACACCAGCACGGCTTTCTCCACGGGATTCCCCAGAGGAGCAGCAGCTGTCTCTCCTCCCACTGGATCTTCAGAGGAAGAACACATCCTTCTCTGCAGATCCCCCTGCTCCAACAGAACCACCCCTGACACTGCAGGAGGGCTCAGCCACATTTCCAATGGGACTGCCACCAACACCCTGACCCACAGGGTGTCAGGTTGGGTTCTGACTCCGTCAGTCTTGTTCTAGTGAACTGCATTGTTCATTTTATCCTTTTTTTTTCTTTCTTTCCTATTAAAGAACACTGCTTTCCTGCTCCCATATTTTTGCCTGAGAGCCCCCTTAATTTAAAATTTATAGCAATTGGGAGGGGTGGGGAGGGTTTACATTCTCCATTTCAGGGGAGGCTCCTGCCTTCCTTAGCAGACTCCTGCCTTTCCAAACCAAGACAACATATTTTATGAAAAATGTTTTTGCCGGGATCTTTTCTCTTGAGAAGCTGGGAAGCTTCAGTTTCTCCATGTTTTGCTGCCCTAGAATGTGATCTGGAGAATTGTTTACTTAGCACGTGAAATTGTTTTTACTTGATGACCAATGACAGCCACCTGTGTTGATGCTGTGAGCAGTCAGATTTTATTATTAAGGAGATTAAAAGATTTTATGGTTATTCTGTTATTTTCTTTTGATGGCTCTCTGATGTCTCTTTTCTCTTTTAGTATAGTCTTAGTATGTAATGCAATGCAATGCAATGCAATGTAATAATATAATATAATATAATATAATATAATATAATATAATATAATATAAATTATAAATTAGCCTTCTGAAACATGGAGTGGAGATTCTCATCTCTTCCCTCGTCCTGGGACCCCTGCGAACACCACCACAGATGATGTGTATAAATTCATGCTGAGGCTACAGTAATCTCACCTGATGAAAACCCTGGCATAACAAAGGAGGGTTCTGGGAAATTCCCTCTGATGAGATTACAGCGATATGCACCAAAATCCCAGCCCAGCAATATTCATCTCCAGAAATTTTGATTCCAGAGGATTATTCCTTTGACCAAATCCCAGCAACATGCATCCGATATGCATCATCCATAAGATAAATGTGTGTCTCCTAGAATGGATATTGCAGGAGATTTTCCTCTAACAAAGTGAGTTATTTAGAAATTATTTACCTCTAACAAAGTGAATAATTTATCAGTTTCGGGAAACTCTCAGCAAGAGCGGCAGCAAGAAAGGAGAAACTACATGAATATACTAAAAGGATAGGATCAATGATAGGAAAGCAAGTAACCCTCCCTGGCAACCCTTGGAGCTTAGAAATGTATAAAAAAGACTTTGTGAGAGCTGTGTCTTTGTGATGTACAGAGGAGAGGAGCCAGAGTGCCCCACCTGTCCCACCCAACGCTGGTCTGAACTTTGCTTGTGGCCTTTCTACAATTGTATTTTAATTATGGAATAAATTCTCCTCATTAATCAGATTGGCTAATTCATTTATAACATTTTTATCTACTTTTGATGTAGTGTAATTTGTTAATCCTGTGTGGGTTATATGTTTTAGTGTGATAAATATATTGTGGTTTAGGCTCTGTCAAAATATCAAAATAGAGACTGTGTGCTGTGTATTATAACATTACCTGTTGTAGAAGTAGTTAATGCCTTTGTTTGTGTCACAAACTGACCATGGTGAGAATATTTTGGATAGTTGTGTGAAATAGCTAATGTTGATTTAATGTACTGGTGGAGTATTTTATCTGTATGGTAAGATAACATTGAAAAGAACCAAGTAAATAAACATTGGAAGAATGCAAAGAGAGATTTACCACTGGCCCTTCAGCTATCAAGAGTTGTCAAATCACAGAACAGGGGGCCTTGTGAGGAAATGAAATTTATAAATTTCATCTGCAGTATGACATGTATGCAGTATGATTTTAAAAAGACCAATCAAGAGTCAGACCAAGCAAAAGAATTCCCAGAACATGTGAACTCAAAGGAATGTTTGAATGTGTATAATCCTCATAAATATGTACTTAACCAATACAATGAAAAGTGAAGTAAGAAAAATTGTTGCAGTTAACTGCGTGCCTCTGGCAGCTGCCATGCACCCAGGGCTGCAAAAGTCCCTTTTATAACTTATTAAACTTTTAAAAATTTTAGAGTGAACCTTGTTTCTCTCAGCTCCAGCACTGCAGCAGCACCCCCACCTCACCCCAAAAAAGCTCAGCAAACTCATCTCCCTTGGCAGCTCCTGCTGCACTGGGGTGCTCAGAGAAATTTGGGGATTTGAACATGTAAATTTGCTCTATAACTTGTATCTGTCCTGCTGGGTCCTGCTGGGACTGTGCCTGAGCTCTAAGGCTGGCCAGGAAATTGGCATGTCAGATTTTATTATTAACAAGATTAACAAGATTTTATCAAGATTATCAAGATCATTCTATTCTTTTCTTTTGCTACCTTTCTGATGTATCTTTTCTCTTTTCTTTTAGTATGGTCTTAGTATATAATTATAATATTATGTTATGTGATGTTATGTTGTTATGTTATGTTGTATTGTATTATGTTATCATATCATATTACATCATATTATATTATATTATATTATATTATATTATATTACATCATATTATATTATATTATGTTATGTTATGTTATGTTATGTTATATTATATTATATTATATTATATTATATTATATTATATTATATTATATTGGCATGTGGGGGTCTGAAGGAGGCAGGGAATCTTTTTCCTTACAGGAATCAGATTTGGATGAGGATTGGTGGTGGATGTGATCTCCTTAGAAAGATACAACTCCTGTCCAAAGCAAGGAAAAATCTATGAATCTAAATTCTAATTTGTATAACTGACAGGAGCTTTTTCTTCAAGCTGGACTCTGGTGAATCACCTTTGGGAAATGAGCATGGAAGGTTTGCAAGAAACCCATGACATTTCTCCCAGGATCTGCTGTTTCAGTTGTTTTTCCAAAAGTTTTTCCAAGTGTTATTTTTTATGCAACCTCTTCACCATTCTTTTGGAGGTTATACTAAACTCCTCAAAGCATTTGATTTTATTTTTAGTGAGCAAATTCCCAATAATTTTCTTGTAGATTTGGGTTAGTGACACCCAAACCCTTTACTTCTTTGTCTTTCTCTCTCTTGCCCTGACAGATGCAATGTTGCACCTTTACCTTCTCACTTGGTAAAACGTTCTTCTTTTTGTGCTTGCATATTTTTAGTTCTATTTTGGTTCTATATTTTCATTTGTGCTTGCATATTTTTATGCTGCAAGCCAGTGTTTTCTTTCTATGCTGGTCACATTTGTGAGATGAGTAACACGATGTGTTCCAAGTTTGGAGTAATTTGTTTCATGTCCTCTGTTGTGCTTCATTTTTTGGCGTTTTTTTACCAGAATCTTTGTATTCTGTGTCCTCCATGCCTCTGAAACACAGTATCCAGTTAATATAACTGCATTTCCAGAGAAAGGTGCTGATTGTTTGACAGAAATTTCAGTATTTTTCACAGGAAGATTCTCCCTGGATCTGGGAGTTTGTTTAGGTGAGCTTCAGGACAGGCTTTTGTGACTGCAACAGGATTTTCCCTCCTAAAACGCAGTATGAGCGTGTTTTGCTGTAAATAAAGATCAGGTGAGAGGTTTCTGGTGGAGATTTTTCTGATGACTTCTTTCCTGTGTGTTCGGCAGATGGTTCTTGCACCTTTTCACAGCATAGCACCCTCATCCCACACTCTGGAAATATTTCCTGATGACTAATCCGCGCAGAACCATTGTTGTCACACCTGTGAGGCACCGTGTGTGTTGTCACACCAGCTCTGTGTGTTCATAGCTCTGTTTCACCATTGCCAGGAGCTGGCTGGCAGTCAGAAACCCGTCCTGAAAACTGCCAGCCATATCACAGAATCCCAGCGCAGATTTATGATATATGATATGATGATATCGTGACTTGAGCAGCCCCAACGTGGAGTTTTTGGGGAGCTTCTGAGCCCTGTGCTGTGCAGGGGACAAATATGGTCTGCACGTGTGATTAAATCAGAGGAATCAGGTGCAGGGTGTGCTTAGGAAGGAGTGTGAGGCACAGCAGGGTTGATTGTGACCTGGAATCCCCAGAGCAGCTCCAACCCAAATCTGTAAGGAAATCATTGGGAATGTGCTCACTAGAAACACAATCAAATGCTTTGAGGGGTTCGGCATAACCTCCAGAAGAAAGGTGAGGAGGTTGCAGGGGCTCTGTCTGTGCCCCCTGAGCTCTGCTGAGCTGCACTGCGGGCACAGGGCGCCAGCACAAACCAGAACCTGTCAGCAGACAGGGAGAGGAAGCACCTGGGAGAAGGGAGAGATGAGCCCTGGAGGGAAGG